TTCTCTTCTTGTGCTTGGAATTGGCTTAATTTGTTGTTGATTTTCCAGTTATTTAAGGTGCAAAGAGAGCATATTCGGAATTTTTCTATTTTTTTGAGTGAAGCTTGTATGGCAATGTATTTCCCCCTTAAGACTACCTTTGCTGTATCCCATAGGTTTTGTACCAATGTGGCTTTATTCTCTTTGGATTCCATGAATTGTTTAAGTTCTTCTTTGATTTCCTGGTTGATCCAAATATTCTTGAGAAGGATGGTCTTTAGCTACCAAATGTTTGAATATCTTCCAAACTTTTTCTTGTTTCAAAACACTGTGGTCTGAGAATATGCAGGGAATAATCTCAGTCTTTTGGTATCATTTGAGCCCTGATTTTTGACCCAGTATATAGTCTATTCTGGAGAAAGTTCCGTGTGCCCTCAAGAAGAATGAGCATTCTTGTTTTAGGGTGGAATGTTCTGTAAAAATCTATGAGGTCCATCTGGTCCAATGTGTCAATCAATGCTCTTATTTCTTTGGTGATTTTCTGCTTAGATAATCTGTCTATTGCTGACAGTGGTGTGTTAAGATCCTGTACAATTAATGTAATTCATATCAATATGACTATTTTGTTTAACAGTTGGCTTAAGTATTTGGCCTCTCTTATATTGGGGCCATAAATACTTGCAATTGTTAGATCTTTGTGGTGGAAGAAACTTTAAGAATGATGAGTGTCCTTTTGTATCCCTGACTACAGTCTTTAGCTTAAAATCTAATTTATCTGATATGAGAATCACTGTCCCAGGTTTCTTTTGAGAACCATTGGCATGAAAGATGGTTCTCCATCCCTTCAATTTTAATCTGGATGTATCTTTAGGTTCAAAATGTGTCTCTTGTAGACAGCATATGGATGGGTCTTGTCTTTTTATCCAGTCTGCAACCCTGTGCCATTTTATGGGAGCATTTAGGCCATTCACGTTGAGAGTGATTATTGAAAGATAAGTTTTTATTGACATCATGTTGCCTGTGAAGTCCTTGTTTCTATAGATTGTTTCTGTAACTTCTGTTCTATGTCACTCTTGGGTTCTTTCTTCTTTTATAGAACCCCCTTTAGTATTTCTTGTAGTGCCAGGATGGTGGGTACGTAATGTTTTAGACCTTGCTGGTCTTGGAAGCTCTTTATCTCTCCATCCATTCTGAATGTCAGCCTTGTTGGATAAAGTATTCTTAGGTGCATATTCTTCTCATTTAGTGCCCTGAATATGACTTGCCAGCCCTTTCGGGCTTGCCAGTTTTCTCTGGACAGGTCTGATATTTTATTGATGGTCCTTCCTCTGTGCATAAGGAATCTCTTCCCCCTAGCTGCCCTTAAGACCTCCTGTCTGTAATTGATTCATGAACGTCACAATTGAGTGTCTGTGTGTCTTTCTAGACTCGTTGATTTTGGGGGGTGTCCTCTCTGCCTCTAGGACGTGAACACTTGTTCCATTCCCCAGACTAGGGGAATTTTCATCCAGTATTTAATCAATTATATCTTCTAGTCTTCTCTCTTTCTCCACCCCCTCAGGGATCCCAGTAATTCTGACATTGGAACGTTTCATGGCATCATTTATTTTCCTAATTCTGCTTTCATGGCTTCTAGTTGTTTGTTCCACGCCTCCTCCTGATCCTGCTTTTCTATCAGTTTGTCTTCTAGATCACGAATTCTGTCTTCTGCTTTGGTTACCCTAGCCGTTAGAGTATTTAGATTAAAGTGGATCTCCTTGATAGTATTTTTAACTTCTGCTAGATCAGCTCTCATTTCTACATTTAGAGATTATATGTTGTCACTAATGGTCTTCTCCAACCTAGCCATTGCCTGGACAATTTTTACTCTGAATTCCATTTCCACCATATTGTTGATGTTCATATCCAGTAGTTCTGTGGCAGATGTCACAGTCTCTGAATTTTTCCTGTGTTGGGTGTTCCTCCTCCTAGTCATTTCGGTGAGAGGTTGTTGAGGGAATACATAGCTGAGTATATCGACCACAATCCGGTGAAGGTGCCTCTTTCCACTGATGATCTCCTGCCCCCATAGAGATCCAGAAGTGTATAATCTTACATCTCAGGCTGATTTCATGGGTGTTCAGAGTGTTCTGGTAGATATTTATCTTACTTCAGGGGACCAGTTGAAACAGGGTCTCCTACTTATCTGCTATCTTGCCCCTTCTCTATAAGGAAATGTATTATTGAATCTCAAATTAGGGCATGGAACTTGAACCACAGAGAGCATGAGTGATTGAGCATGTATCCATAGAGATTCATGGTACTTTTAGGTACATCCCTTCTCCTACTCCACTAGTATTTTATGGCTCCTTATAACCTCCTGAGAGCATATGTCTAGGTATTTCACTTGGCCTTTACTTGAGTAGATAGGGACAAGGCCACAGAAATTTTTTTCCATAGCACTTGGCTGGAGCAGTGTGGATATTTTCTAAATATTTTCTATCTTGTTAGGCTGTCATTTTAATGGCCATTTGGCTGGAGAAAGAAAGCATTTGCTTGCTTTTTTTTTTTTTTTTTTTTTTTTTGTCTGCTCCTGTTGGTTTTTCCATGTTACTGGCTCCTACAACTCCAATTTTAGGCTACATGAAACTAAGAAAAAAACTGGGAACTCATCATCATATGATTTCCTCAAGTCCTGAGGCTGCTAGCAGATTTGACTTCTTTTGTCCACCATTCACAATCTTCTTAGGTTTGTTTTATGTATGATATCCAGGTTGGTCAGTGGCAATTAGTATGATGAATACAAAAAAGTATGTATGATCCATATTAGTTATAGTGGAAGGATATGTTATTTTGGGATGTCTAAGATATGCATTGTAAATACTCAGAAAGTAACTGGGTATATGAATCAGAAAATCAGATCAAAGTCTGGCAAGAAATATAAATCTAGGAGACATCAGAATATAAATTATATTCAATGCATTGATTCTGGATATCACTGAGTAAGTGACTATAAATAGAAAAGAGAAGACAAAGATTTAAGACTGTGGTACTCCAATACTTAGAAGTTGGAAAGATGAAGAGGATCCAGAGAGGGATCCTGGGAGGAGGCAATAAGAAAAGTAAGAAGAGGGGTGCCTATGTGGCTTAGTTTATTAAGCATCTGTCTTTGACTCAGGTCATGATCCCAGGGTCCTGGGATTGAGCCCTACATTGGACTCCCCAACCAGGGGTCAATCTGCTGCTCCCTCTCTCTCTGCCACTCCCCCTTCTTGTGCTATCTTGCCCCCAGTCAGATAAATAAATGAAATATTTTAAAAAATAGGAAGAGGAAACTCAGGAGAGAGTAGTTTCCCAGAAGTCAGGTAAAGATAGTATTTCAGGAAGTAGACAGTGATTACCTTTTCCCATTGATGTTGAAAAAACAAATATATAGAGGACTGAGAATGGACTATAAGACATGGAAACATGGAAACCATTTAGTGGTTACTGCATACTACTTTAGTGGATCCAGAATTTTATTATTTTTATCAGCTGTACTTCCTAAGAATCACATTGTCTTAGAGTTAGAAGGATATGTAAGGTATTTGTCCAACCATTAAATCAACTTATAGGATCCCTGATGACTATTTGTGGTCTTTGCTTAAGCATTTCTATTTGCAGTTAGTTCACAAGTGTGTAGTCATTTCCATTTTTGGAGTGACACTAATTACTCCTTGTTTTGCATATGTATTTAGATTTAATCCTACCCGTTTTTCACTGTTCTACTTTTGTACTTAGGCAATATACAAAAAATTTCTAGATACTCAGAAGGCGTGTCTTTTCTTTTAAAATTTGTTTTCTTTAAGTTCCAACAGATTTTAAGTCTTCACAAAAATGACAACCTTGTGGTGCCTGGGTAGTTCAGTTGGTTAAGCATCTTCCTTCAGCTCAGGTCATGATCTCAGGGTCCTGGGATTATGTCTCCCATCAGGATCCCTGAGCCTGCTTCTCCCTCTCCCTCTGCCTGCCACTCCCCCTGCTTATGCTCTCTCTCTCTCTCTCTCTCTATCAAATAAATAAATATAATCTTTAAAAAAATGAGAACCTCAGTAATAAGTATGGTCTCACAAGAAGTCACAACTTGGGTTTAAGAGAATCCTGTTTTGCTATTATCTTACCACCCCATTCCCATGAAGACCCTCTCAAGTGCACATGATCACTGAGCATTTTTCCTAACTTCCACGTCCAAATATGGCTCCTTTCCTCTAGGCCACAGTTCTGTCATTACCTGTCTGTTTCTCATCCTCACTATACCCTATATATTACCAAAAAGTTGTCCCTAATTTGAATCTATTATAGGCCATATGTTAAAACTTTGTGATTGATTTACCTAACTTGAATCTCTTGACCCAAGTACAATTAGAACAAACAAGCCACTTCCCAAGTATACCTACCAGTGGTCCCTATAATCAATGCTGTCCCAAATACCATTCCATATGTATCTTATCCATTCTAAAGTGGGGTGAGGACATGAGATCATAAAATATAACTACCCCATTCTAAATATTTCTCCACGCTCACTCTAGGGAGCATGATGATGATTTCATTCTATTTACTAAGCCTACCTGGATTTTGTGGGTTTAATAAGAAAAAAAAAGTCAGGTACACAAAGAGGGTCAAGACAAGTTAAGTGAATAGAAGTCACTAACTGTATGATTTCCCACACAGCCAGAGAAACAAGATCACTCCTACCCCAATCAGCCTTGAGTGGGAACCACCAAACTTTGACCAGGCTGAAGAGTAGGCCACAATTCATTTAATCATTTATACTCCAAATTATCATTTTATTTTTATTGTTTGCTTAAATGGTTCCAGGATAGGTCCATGGTAGGCATAGCCAATGAAATTTTAAGGAGTTTAATGCAGAGAAAAATAATGCCTACATAGAAACAATTATTTGTTATTACCTATTTCCTGTTTCCCATTATTAGCTACTAAAAGAACTTCTTTCATTTAAAAAAAAATATTAAACTAACTGAAGAAGTCCTGCTACAACAACAATGGCTGTCACAACTTTGGCTGCCCAGGTGCGGCTGGGCATGTGGGGCATTAGGGCCATGTAAACCTGAGGCTTCAGCTTCAAATGGTAAGACTCCCACATGGGCTTGGTCTGGAAGGCAGGTGGGGCCTTCAGAAAGAGGGAGCAAGCTGAAGAGGAAGGATACTCCCCTAAAGAACAACTGACAGCTTTGAAAAAACACCATGAAGAGGAGATCACCAGTCATATAAAGGAAATTGAGCCTCTGAAGAAAGAAATCAAGTGGTGCAAGACAATCAAACATCTAAAAAATGATGATGATGATTAAATGTACACAGTTCCCATTGAATAGCTATATATCCTCTCCTACTTCTATGGAAACATAGTTCTGGTTTTATTAATATCTATCTGTGTGCTACCAATAGATTATAATAAATTGTCATCTGTGAAATAAATATTAAACTATATTTGATGTACAACATTGTGTAAATTTAAGGTATATATTTATAAATGATAATTCAATATATTTATAAATTTATAATATGATTGCTATTGTACTAATAACTACCACCTATATCAATTACATGATTATACTTTATTTTTATTAGAATAATTAAGTTCTAGTCTCTTAGAAAGTTGTATTAGAAAACAATATTGTTGTCTATATTCACTATACTGGACATTATATCTCTAGGGCTTATTTATTCCTAACTGAAAGTTTGTGCCCTTAAATCACATCTGTTCTATCTCCTCCACCCTCTATTCCCTAGTAACTACCATTTTACTCCCTGTATGAGTGAATTTTTAAGATTTTACATACAAGTGATATCATATAGCAGTCATATTTCTCTAATTTATCTCACTTGGCATAATGTACTCAAGGTCCATCCATGTTACTGTAAATGGCAGGATGTCATTTTTCCTCATCACTGAATAATATCCAATCATTAGTATATAACTATATCATGTAATATACATATATATGCAGACATACACACACACACCACATTTTCTTTGTCTATTTATTGGTTCATGGGCATTTAGTTTTGCTTTGATATGTTTTGTTTTTTTCCATACCTCAACTACTGTAACAATGCTGTGATAAAGATGGGAGTGTGTGTATCTCTTCAAAATCCTGTTTTTATTTCCTTTGGATATATACCCAGAAGTTGAGTTGTTGGTATAGGGGTAAAAACCTCTTTCAACAACAAACTCAGTTAAGTATATGTTTGCCTTTTATGCCTTACTGAGCTAAGAAATGCTTTTCAGCCTATGCTATTGTTTCCCCAACTCCAATTCTTACAACTATTAGACTCATGCAGTTGATCAGTCAGCACTTATGTTGTACACTCTCAGCTAGGGGCCATTTCTAGAATTAGCAGTCACTCAACCAACTCTAATCCCATTTGTTACTAAACAGTTGGGATTTGCAGATTTGAATTAAGCAAGCACTAGAGGTTAGCTACCTTATTTTTTTTTTTTTTTTTAGTTTTTACTTAAATTCCAGCTAGTTAACATACAGCATAATATTGGGTTCAGGTGTAAAATAGAGTGATTCAACACTTCCATATAACACCCAGTGCTCATCACAAGTGCATACCTAAATGTCATCAACTATTTTACCCATCCCTCCACCTACCTCCCCTATGGTAACCATTGTTTATTTCTTTATACTTAAAAGTCTGTTTTTTGGTTTGCCTTTCTCTTTTTTCTCCTATGATCCTTTGTTGTGCTTCCTAATTCCACATATGAGTGAAACCATGAGGTGTTTTTCTTTTTCTGACTGACTTATTTTCCTTAACATAATGTTCTATAGCTTCATCCACATCATTGAAAATGGCAAGGTTTCATTCTTTTTGTGACAAAGTAATACTCTTTTGTGTGTGTGTGTGTGTGTGTGTGTGTGTGTGTGTGTGTATGTGTGTGTGTGTGTGTATACCAGTATACCATTTATTCTTTATTCACTCATCAGGTGATGGACACATGGACTCTTTCCATAATTTGGCTATTGTAGATAATGCTGCTATAAACATCAGGGTGTATGTATCCATTTGAATCAGTATGTTTGTATTCTTTGAGTAAATATCTAGTAGTGCAATTGCTGGATCATAGGGTAGTTATATTTTTAATGTTTTGAGGAACCTTCATACTGTTTGCCAGAGTAGCTGCACCAGTTTGCATTCCCACCAACAGTACAAGAGGGTTCCCATTCTCCACATCTTCACCAACACCTGTTGTTTCTTGTGTTGTTGATTTTAGCCATTCTGACTGGTGTGAGGTAATATATTTTGTAGTTTTCATTTGCATTTCCCTGATGATGAGTGATGTTGAGCCCATTTCCATGTGGCTGTTAGCCATTTAGATGTCTTCCTTGGGGAAAAAAAATATTTTTTCATGTTTTCTGCCCATTTTTAATTGGATTATTTGGTTTTGGGGTATTCAGCTTTATAACTTAATATATTTTAGATACTAAACCTTTAACTTTATGCCATTTGCAAATATCTTCTCCCATTCTGTAGGTTATCTTTTAGTTTTATTCATTGTTTCCTTAACTGTGCAGAAATTTTTATCTTGATGAAGTTCCAATAGTTTATTTTTGCTTTTGTTTCCCTTGCCTCAGGAGACATATCTAGAAATAAGTTCCTATTCCTGATGTCAAGAATTCACTGCCTGTGTTCTCCTCTAGGATTTTGATGGTTTCATGTCTCACATTTGGGTGGTAAACTCATTTTTTCAGGTCTTTAAGTAATTTTGAATTTATTTTTTGTGTATGGTGTAAAAAAGTGTTCCAATTTCATTCTTCATCATGTTGCTGTCCAGTTTTCCTAACACCTTTGTTAAGAAACTGTTTTTTTTCCAAATGGATAGTCTTTCCTCTTTTGTTGAAAAGTCATTGACCATACAATTGTTAGTTCATTTCTCTGTATTCTGTTATGTTCCCTTGATCTATGTGTCTATTTTGTACCAGTGCCATACTGTTTTGACTACTAAAGTTTTCTAAGAAAATGTCTGCAATTGTGATGTATCTAGCTTTGCCTCTTTTTCAAGGTTGCTTTGACTATCCAGGGAATTTCATAGCTCCATACAAGTTTTAGGACTGTTTGTTCTAGTGCTGTAAAAACTGTTGCTCGTATATTTGTAGGGATTGCTTTAAATGTGTAGATTGCTTTGGGCAGTATAGACGTTTTAACAGTATTTGTTCTTCCAACATATGATCATGGAATGCCTTTCCATTTATTTGTGTCATCTTCAATTTCTTCCATCCATGTTTTCTAGTATTCACAGTACAAGTCTTTCACCTCTTTGGTTAGGTTTATTCCTAGGTATTCTATTGTTTGTGGTGCAGTTTGATGTTATAGATGGGATTGATTCCTTCATTTCTATTTTTGCTGCTTCCATTACTGGTATATAGAAATGCAATGTATTTCTGTAAGTTGATTTCGTACCCTCCGATATTACTAAATTCGTGTATTAGTTCTAGAAGTTTCTTGATAAAGTCTTTCAGGTTTTCTATATAAAGTATCATGTCATTGACAAATACTTAAAGTTTTATATCTGCCTTGCCATTTTGAATGCTTTTATTTATTTGTGTTTTTGATTGGTGTGACTAGGACTTCCAATACTATACTGAATAAAAGTGGAAAGAGGGTCATCTTTGTATTGTTCCTCACTGTAAAGGAAAAGCTCTCAGTTTTTCACCATTAACAATGACATTTGCTGTGGGCTTTTCGTAATGACCTTAATTGTGTTAAGGTATGTTCCCTCTGAACATATTTTGCTGAGATTTTTTTTTCATGAATTGAAGATGTACCTTGCCATATGATTTTTCTGCATCTATTAAAGGATTATATGGTTCTTATCCCTTCCCTTATTAATGTCATATATCACATTGGTTCATTTGTGAACTGTCAGTGAAGCTTGCAACCCAGGAATAAATCCCATTCGATCATGGTGAATGATGTTTAAGTGCTATTAGATGCAATTCACTGGTATTTTGTTGAGGATTTTGCATCTGTGTTCATCAGGAATATTGGCCTGTACTTCTTTATTTCAGTGGAGTCTTTTTGTACTTTCGGTATCAAGGCAATGCTGGCTTCATAGAATGAATTTGGAAGGCTTCCTTCCCGTTCTATTTTTTAGAATAGTTTGAGAAGAGTAAATATTATCTCTACCTTAAATGTTTGGTAAAAGTTCCCTGTGAAGCCATCTGATCCTGGACTTTGTTTGTTGTTGTTGTTGTTTTTGTTGTTGTTGTTGTTGTTGTTTTTTAACTGATTAAGTTTATTTTCTGGTTATTGGTCTGTTCAAGATTTTTATTTCTTCCTCTTTCACTTTTGGTAGTTTATATGTTTCTAGGAATGTATCAATTTCTTCCAGGCTTTCCAATTTGTTGGCATATACATTTTCATAATAATCTTTTGTGATTGTTTGTATTTCTGTGGTGTTTGTTGTTTTTTCTCCTCTCTTATTTGCAATTTTTATTTATTTGGGTCCTCTCTTTTTTAATAAGTCTGGCTAGAGGTTTATCAATTTTATTCATCTTATTCATTTTTTTTCAAAGAATAAGCCCCTGTTCTATTGTTTTGTTGTTGTTGTTCTATATCATTTCTTTCTACTCTAACCTATTATTTCCTTCCTTCTGCTGTCCTTAGGCTTTATTTGTTGTTCCTTTTCTAGCTCCTTTAGGTGTACTGTTAGGTTGTTTATTTACAGATTTTTCTTCTTCTTCTTCTTCTTCTTTTAAAGATTTATTTGTTTATTTGACAGACAGAGATCACAAGTTGGCAGAGAGGCAGATGGAGAGAGAGGAGGAAGCAGGATCTCCACTGAGCAGAGAGCCTGATGCAGGGCTCAATCCCAAGACCCTAGGATCATGACATGAGCTGATGGCAGAGGCTTTAACCCACTGAGCCACCCAGGTGCCCCCAGATTTTTCTTCTTGATGTAAGTCTGTATTGCCATAAACTTCTTTCTTAGGACCCTTTTGCTGCATCCCCAAGTTTTTGGACCACCGTGTTTTCATTTTCATTTGTTTCCATGTTGATGTTATTTCTTCTTTGATTTCTTGGTTGGCACAATCATTCTCTAGTAGCATGCTGTTTAATCTTCATGTATTTGTGGTCTTTCCAATGTTTTCTTGTGGTTGACTTCAAGTTTCATAGTGTTCTGTTCAAAAAAGGTGTACAGTATGATTTCAATATTTTTGCTTATTTTGAGGCCTATTTCTGTGACCTAATAGGTGATTTATTCTGGAGAATGTCCATGTGTACTAGATAAGCATATGTATTCTGCTGTTTTCAGATGGAATGTCCTACATGTATCTGTTAA